ATATAGAAGAGAAAATTCAAATTTCAAAAACTAATCTTAAAAAAGTTGAAAAATTAGGAAAAGAGCACTAAATAATAACAATAGAATATTTTATAGCTAGCAGGCTGACAAGAACTCGAAAGATATTTAAGACCTGTGGCTGGCGTAAACGTGGTGAAAGAGCAAACCAATTGCTGGTACAATGCCATGCACGGCATGTTTCTGGAAGACAATGTGGCCCAGCATGGTGGATAAATAAGTAAAACATATAGACAGTGAACATGGTGACAGCTGGGACCTGTGTAAAGTGGACACCTGTGGACACAGAAAGGGAAACTCAAATATACTCCTCTGAAAGGAGCCACGCACACCTCGTAATGCTTCATTCTTAGCACTGTGAAATTTAACGAGACCCAGGATAAAAGAAGGCAGTGCTACTGGCTTTCGGGTTTTGCTGCATCTGTGATATTTTACCCAGCAACTCCATTTATACTGTATCCCGTAGATGGTAAATTTAGGTGTGGAGACGCGTGTACAAATGTGTTTATTGCAGTGTTGTCTTCAGTGGCAAAAACTGGAGAGCAAGTGGTTGTAAACATTATGGCGCATGCATACCCTAAGGGTAATACTTATCTATGGTAAAGAACGAACTGACTCCAAGCGGATGGGCTTCCAGCACTTAGACAAAGTAGTGATGAGCTGAAAAGACAAATACAGACAACGTATTTGTCTGTTGAATGTTGTGTGTGTTTCTGTTCACACGTTATAAAAGAGCCTGGACAGATAAGGAAGGTTTTATACTAGGCTGCAATTTACTTTGAGGCAGATAGGTTCATAGCCTGTGTGTAAAAATGAGTTAGTTCCATGCAAATGGGACTCAAGGTCAAAAGGATAAAGGGGGAACTCAGCATTTGAAAGGAGAAAAACTTTCAGGAAAACTTTTCTCCACAGTTGTGAAAAGTTATCTCTATTTGGTAAACTGAGGTATGGTAGAGAGGATCTGAGATACAGTAGACAGGAAGATGATCCTTAGGTCTCTAGTTAAATAAAGCGCTTACCTGCAAGCCAAAAGTGGTAGGTTCAAATCCACCCAGGGATGTATCAAAGGCAAGCATGGGATGATCGGCCTCTGAAAAAACAGCCATAGAAACCCCGAGGAAGCACAGCTGTGCTCTCACACACATGACTCACCATGAGCCAGAACTGACTTCCTCACGATTGGTTTGTATGTTAGAGAAGCGGCTTCTTCTCTGCGCCTGTGTGAGCAATGGGGACCCTTCGGTGCTCCATGGCTGACGTCTATCAAAAGTTGCCATTGGTCTCGGTGGGAAAGAACATCACTTAAAACAGAGGGAAAACCTCATCCCAGAAAGTCTTATCAATCTAAGTGGTTCCGTGTGTGTATGTGTGTGTGTGTGTGTGTGTGTGTGTGAGAGAGAGAGAGAGAGAGGGGGGAAACATACATGAACATGCATGTAACTTTGCATGTTCTTTGCAAACCCCTTGAGAACCCAGAGAAGGATGAGTATTGGGGTCTAGACTACTCTGACCTGTAATAATATCGAACTCTGACAGGGACTCTTTATGACTGGGTCTTGAGTGTTAAAGCAACATGATACTGCCAGCTGTGAGGAGATGCACACAAGAACACATATTAGGGATGCTAAAGCTTTCAGAATGCTGGTTCATGGAAACACATTTTCAACCCATCGAAAGCTCCGCCCACCCCAGTACTCACTGGTGGCAAAGAGAGCAAGACTTTGCTTGTGTGGCCTCGTAGGTGAGCTGCCCTGGGCCATTTGGAGGACAATGCATGGGATAACGAGGAGACCTGGTGGTGCAGTGGTCAAAGCACTCAGCTGAAAACCAAAAGGTCAGTGGTCCAAACCCCAGAGCTGCTCACTCCATGAGAGAAAGGTGTGGCAGCACACTCATATAAACAGGGGCTTCTGGGAACCCCTCGGGTGCAGCTCTGCGAGGTCCCATCCTGTTGCTACAAGTTGGCAATAGATCCAAAGCAAAGGGTTTAGTTAAACAGGGTGTCACCTTCCACGTGGGCCCTCTTGCAGTGCCACAAATGTTTATTGAGTGCCTACTGGGGACAAGGTCCTGTTCTAGGCAGTGGAATGGTCAACAAGATTCTCTTCACATGGCGCTTATCCTTTGGGTGGTAAGAGACATACGTATACTAACAAGGCAACTAACATAATGACATTACTGTGAGGAAGGAGCAGGACCAGATGGGGGACCAGAGGAAGGAATGGACTACATTAGGTAGGAAGATTACTGTAGACGCCTCTCGCAGCTCAGACCCGAATGAAGCAAGAGTCAGCTGTGCATTCCAGGAACATGACCTACCGGGCAAAAGGTCCCGGGCCAGGATAAGTGTGACAGCTGCAGAAACAGTCAGTGTAGCGGGGTCTATATTAAACTGGGGGGAGAGTGGGATTGAAGTGGGCAAGGTGGACAATGGAAAGCAGAAAGCCTTGAAGGCTGGCAAGGGGTGCAGATCTGATTGTAACTTACCCGAGGCAACTTCTGTGGGCCATTAAGCAAAGTGACGTGGTTGGATATATAAAATCTGGATCTAAAATATTCTGTTCCTTTGCCTATCTCGAACTTGCTCTTCAAGCCTCTGTACGGCATGATTTTCCACCCTCTTTCCTGCTGTCCCTCATTGCCTACTCTAGTTCCCACCCCTCTCTGCTCATCCAGGGCCTGTACTTGCAAGCATCATCAGATGGTTTTGTGTAATTCACTGCCTTTCTCCTTCAGCAGACTGTAAGCCTTGTCCACTGCTATATCAGCTGCCTCCGGCACAAGATCTAGATTCATAGATCAGCATGCACTCTAAGATACGTTCGTGGGTAAAAGTTTATTTACACTTTCCGTTTTCTTAGCCACTCTTTCCCTCCTCCTCCCTTCCTCCTCCCTCCTCCCCTGGAGTGAAATTTAGGACAGGAAGAGTTTTATACTGAAAAAATTAGAGGTGGGAACTAGTTCATTTATATAATTTCTCTCCCCCTCCCCCTCTTCTTCTTCTTCTTCTCCCTCAGCACACGCACACTTTCCCTTCAGCCCTGTGAGTGGAGAAGGACAAGGACGGGGCACTAGGTCAGTGGGCCCTGGTTCCCACTGTATTCTATGGTGCTCTTCTAAATGGGCAATGTTCTCTTTAGGGTAGAGAGCATCAGAGATAGCAAGGCACAGTTCCTATAAGCGGTGAGATTTCAGGCTTCCAGAAAACCAGAGTGAAGGAGGAAATTCCTAGCACTCTCCAAGGGATCCGGTTTTAGTTGGACCTAATATAGCACTTAAGAATTCCCAGTAGTGTCGTGGGTCCCGAGCTGGTCAGTAGCTCCTATTCACCAGCTGCTCTGTTGGAGAACGCTGTGCTTTCTCTTTCCATAAAGAGTTAAAGTTCTGGAAATGTCTAGGGCAGTTCCACTCTGTCTTATACGGTCTCTATGAGTCAGAATTGCGTTGATGGCAGTGAGCTTCAGTTTTGAAGTCAGCATATCATCATCCTGTAGAGAGTTCGCTCTCAGTCATGAACTAACATAATGACAATGAATTTTGATTTTTCTGGACGTCAACACAATAAATTCCCCCTCCTTAAAGCACCTCTTGCTAGATTTGCGCAGACCGGCACAGGGGAGTAACCAGACACGGAGTAGGGCATAAAGGCAGCTTCCAGGAGGGAGTGGCCCTTTGCTAGCAGAAAACTGTGCAGGGACCTGACCACCCATGCGTCCACCAGTGTCTCACACCACAGGACCCCTCAGTGAAAGCGTGGGAGAGCAGGCAGATGCGTGTCTTGGCTCCCAAAGGATTCTCCAGGTTCAATTCCCCAGGGGAGCCTCCTCCTCTCTGCTCAACCCGGCAGGAACGCGCTAGGAAGCTCAGCCCATCTCTGCTCCTTCAAACCAACCAGCACCTACTGGAGACTAGCCCGTCTTCCCCGCAGCTCTCCCCAGTGCCGGGCTGGAGCTCAGCGCTTTGAAATGGCCTTGGGCTTGGAGAAGAAGCTTCAGAGCTCGCCAGGGGCTGCTGGCAGAGAGGAGGTGGGCCAGAGCTCTCCACTCCCCAAGCAAACCTAGGAGTCGGACGGTGGAAGCGCCCAGGTCCCCACTCCCGGGCGCACTCTGAGCTCGGGGCGGGCGCGGGCAGGTTCTCGGGGCGGCCGCCGGGGAGCCCCGAGCCCGAGCCCCGCAGCGCCAGGCGAGGCGCGGAGGGGCGGCTCGGGCGCTCGGGGCGCTTGCAGGGAGCCCCGCCCAGGAGCCAGGGTGGGGAGCAGGGCTGGGGGAGGCAACCGCTGGAGGTCTTGCCCCGAAGGAGGGCGACCGGGGAGGCGAGCGCACAGCTCCGGCCGGGCGCGGAGAGCGCTCCCCGGGAGCCATCCCTCACTGGTTCGGGAAGAGAAACTGGGGGTTGGGGAGTGTTTGCAAATCACCACCCCAGGAAAGTTGTTCTCTGGACGCCCGCGGCCCGGCGTCGCGGCCCCGAGGCTGCGGCTACGGCGGCCCGGCCCCCCTCCGGGCCTCCCCCGCCCCGCCCGCGCCTCTGCAGCGCTGCCGCAGCTCCCGCTGCGCTCCCCCGGCCCCGGGCCAAGGGCGCGCTGGCCCCCAGCTCTCCGGGGGCCGCGTGGCGTCCGGCGCGACCACTCCCAGGCCCCCGACCGCCCTCTCGCGGGCTGCATGGGGGGCGCCGGGCGGGCGCACGCCCAAACAGGTAGCAGCAGCCTGGCCAGGCGTGGTGGCGGCGGCGGAGTAAGCCCGCGGCCAACCGCTGGTGCGGCTGCCTTGGCGCACAGGGACGGGCGAGGACGCAACCCAGGTACTGCCCCTTCCCGGTGACGTCTCGCTCGCGAGCGGGTTATAAACGCCGCCGGTTCGGCTCGCTCCGGAGCCAAGCGGGACCCGAGCCAAGAGGCGCCTGCGAAGCTGTTCGCAGCAGCCGCGGTGAAAGCCACGGGGGAAATCTCCCGCGGGAGCGGGGACCCCTTCCCGGCCGCCGACTCAGAACTTTGACAGCCCAATCGCTCGGTGCCGGCTTCTCCTGGGCCCCCCAGTACTCACGCAAGCAGGGGGGCTAGAGGCTGCACAGAGCAGCAGGTGCTGAAAGGCAGGGGTCACCTGCCGCTCGGAACCAGGACTCTTGGCATTGCTTTCCCTCTCAACGCGGGAGAAACGCTGTCGCCTAATTTCTGAACTGTCCCCCCTGTGCTTAGAGAAGCTTGAAAGTGGAGGAATTCAGAGCCACAAGGGGCAGTCAGCGCACCCAGAGCGTTGGTCTTTCCGAGCGCCAAGGCTCCTGCTTGTGAAGGGAGAGTTCTCTTCAAAAAGACTTCCATCCTCCTGCCTTGGCCAAGCAGGCCTCTGAGTTCCAGCCAGGGCCCACAGGACCCAGCTGCAGAGGATCAGGGTGCAAAAGAGAGGAACGCTGAAGCCCCGCCTGACAGCGGCATGGATAACGTTCTCCCAGTGGCCACAGACTTCTCCCCAAACATCTCCACCAACACTTCGGAGCCCAATCAGTTCGTGCAGCCAGCCTGGCAAATTGTGCTGTGGGCAGCTGCCTACACCATCATCGTGGTGACTTCCGTGGTGGGCAATGTGGTGGTGATGTGGATCATCTTGGCCCACAAGAGAATGAGGACTGTAACCAACTATTTCCTGGTGAACCTGGCCTTCGCAGAGGCGTCCATGGCCGCCTTCAACACGGTGGTGAACTTCACCTATGCCGTCCGCAACGAGTGGTACTACGGCCTATTCTACTGCAAGTTCCACAACTTCTTCCCCATCGCGGCTGTCTTCGCCAGCATCTACTCCATGACAGCTGTGGCCTTCGATAGGTGAGTTGACCCTTATGAAAAAGGCAGTGTCGGCAGAGGACCGTGGCAGTGCCATGGGAGCTTGGCTGATGGGGCACCTGCGATGGAGAAGGGCCAACTAGGGCTGTGGGGTGGGAGTGGGTGGTTCTGACCGCACCTGAGTCAGTTGTTGATGGAACACCTGATCTTACCTCGCTGATCCCTTTTAGTTCTTTATTCCTGCCCTCCCCCTTTCCCACGTTAGCATTCTCACTCTCACTCACTCACTCACTCACTCACCCACTCACTCACCCACCCACACACCTTTTTCTCATTTAATTCCCCTTTCTTCATACCTTATCCCCTAATCTCCTCATACTTTCCTCACCAAGCCTGGTTTACCCTTTCCCATAGATTTATCCCTCCTTTAGCCTTGAAGTGTATACAAGGGCTTGGCCACAGAGTGGACCCCTGACAGGGGGCTTTGGCATGTCCCTAAAGGCTTGCAATTCTGTTGAGTGGCCTATTGTTGCCTTTGTGACTTGGTTTGGGCAAGGATGATCATGTTCAACGTTTTCCTAAAGAGTCACGAGCTTTTTGCTTCCACTTTAAATGTCCAACAGCATTTTGACATGAATAAATGTTCTACCAGAAAGATAAGGTACTGAGTATTGGAACTCACCTCCTTCTAGGCTACTGGAGGTGCTCCTGCAGGAATCTGAGACAGCTGTGTGGTTCTTAAGGAATTTGACAGATAGGGGATCCAGGGAGCTTACCTGGGCTTTTTTCCTACGCTTTTCTTGCAATGTAAGGTCAATGTTTTGGCCCCGTCTATATCCCAGAGAAGACGTGCTTTGGAAAGGCAATTGCAAACTCTTTTTCCCCCCCCTGCAATCCACAGGTTTGGGTTTCAGAAGCTGATTGAAAGTGAAAAGATTGACATTTGAAAATGCTAGGGCTCCACACGTGGTATGGCGCAGATTGATGATTAGAGCAAAGCTCTATTGGAATTGACTTTTCTTGGGTGGCTTCTGTCTCTAGTGTGTATGTCTCTGTGTGCACAGGTGCTATATGCTTACCTGGAATTGGAAGTATGTTTAAAACATTTGCCACTGTGATTTTTGCCTGGTTCTTTCCATCTTTTCCCAAAGGAAATAAATATAAGAAGCCCAAGTGCTAGGAGGAAACTGCTAAAACATTCCTAAACTGCTAGCCTCCACTCTGTTAAAAAAAAGTTTAAAATTTGCAATTGTTTGAGGTCTTTTATGGTTTTGGTAGTTAATGTGAACTTTTAACATCAAGGAAATTCCACCCGTCACTGCCTGCTGCGTTATGAAGTCGGTCTACACCTGCCTTTACACAGCTTTCGTGGTGTGCTTGATATGTTGAATGTCAAACAGATAGTTGAGAATCAATTTCTCTTTGACATGGAAAGATAAGCCAGTTCTTCAACATGGTAAGCAAAGGAATTATTTTGTAAATTATCTTTTCTGACATTCTGGTTTACCAATATTCAATTTGCTGAAGGTGAGGTAAACTTCCAAATCCTGGTGCACGGACTGGCTGACCTAACCTGAAGGCAGCCCCACTTACGCTTAGAGGAACCATAGCATGAGAGATAAGGAAAGCGAACGACACTTGCTTTCTTTCACTCACTGCTATCAAGTCGATCCCGACTCCTAGCAACCTGATGGGAAAGAGCAGCACTGCCGGTGGGTCCAGAGCCTAAATCTCCACACCCTCATCATTCTCCTGAAGATTGGCTGTTGGTTTCCAGCTGCTAAGCTCTTGGTTACACAACCCGCTATGCCAGCAGGACTTCTTGATGACTGATAGATTAGAGGGAAAATTGGCTTAAAAAAAAAAAAAGATGTTGGTGGTTGCATGAGCTCTGGGATGTCAATTAGTGTGAAAAGGAGCATTCAGTAGCTAATGGAGCACCAGCCTAGAACTCCCCCTGGACCAACTCAGAAAGGACATTTCCATAGCCCTCCTATTTCCTTTTGAACTCAGAAGGTTAGGGGAAAGAGTCAAGACCAGGGTTCCCACAGCAAATTGCCAGACAGCCAGATTTGCATATCTTGACCCTAGTGTAATGGACCCTCTGCTGTTTAACAACCATAGGAAGGACATGACCCTGAGTGAGCTCAAAGGCTCTCAGGTGCCAGAACCGACAAAATTGACAGCACCAAGAACTATCCTCATGCCTCTTTGTGTAACTGTGGTCCAAGGGGAGTACCACTAAGGTGCTTGAGGGTTCAGAACATAAGGAGAGTAAGACGAGGCTCCAGGTCTCTGTCTCCAAGTGCTTCTTCTCTTTTGCCTTGATCAGACTTACTGAGTGGAAGATTACTCCCGCAAGGCTGTCTGTGCTGAACGCAGCTTCTCTGCATACTGGTCTCTGCCAAGAATGTTTTAGAAAGAGAATAGGTCTTATATTGTCACCACTTGAATTTTCTCTCATTTCTCCACTGTGGAAATACAGGCTTTGAAAAAACATGAAATTATCTTTTATGTGCACCCTGACTTTTTAACAGGACCGCCTCTGATTTGAACCTAAAAAACCCCAGCAAAATGGATTTTCTGGTTTTGAAAATAAACATTGCTCATTGCAGAAGACTCTAGAAACAGGAAAAGCTGATATAAAACTATATATATCAACCATTACTTCACTATTCCCCAAATAAAACTTGTTAACATCTTGAATATATATTCGATGATTATTACACTACATAATTGAGGTCAGGCTTGATATAATTTTGTATCTTACTTTTTTTTAACCACTGATATTAATGGTGAATATTTCTCTGTTATTAAAAAGTCATCAGGAACGTAATTTCCATGGCTTCATATTATTGTAGTATATGTTATGATTAATTTAACTATTTCCCTGCTGTTGGGACTTATGGGATTTCTACCAAATATAACTAATAGGTGATTAATTTTAACTAATAGGTGATTAATGCTCTACTGAGTATTTCTGCATGAGAATTTTGTTTAGCCAATGTTGACTACTTCTTTAGAATAGATTCTCAGGAGTGGCATTACTGGATCATGTGCAATGACTTTTTAAATCCTTTCACTCTAATTGGAAAGGATTGCATGACCATTTTTTGGGTTTGTCTTGTTCACTTTTATCTCCTTAGTGCAAAACAGAGAGCTTGGCACCGAACAACCACTTGCATTTCACAGAATGAGTAAACGAATGAATAAACTGAAAAGGCATTCCCTAGGATAAGATTTGGAAAACACATAATAGTGTTGGGGAAAATCTAAAATCTACCCACAACCTCATTACTGAAAAATTATCAATTAAAATTTTGGAATGCTAGCTGAAAATTATTTGTTCTGTCTGACCGATGGGGTCACTATGAATCAGAAGCAACTCGATGGTAACTAACAAGGCAAACTACATGTTGTTTCTGCCACATACAGTTGCTTACCCATTTCAGTGTCAATTTGAGGTCATAATAAAAAGTTTCAATGGCTTTTTTTGGGGGGGGTCTTCTTTAGTATTGTATCATTGGAATTTCCTATGTAATGGGCGATTTTTCAAAATAGAATTTTAGATTGATGCATTATATCACATGACTATGATCATTAACCACTCCTTTATTATTAAATGTCTGTTGTTTCACTGTTCTAGCATTCGAAGTAGGATTGTAATGAATATCCTGGACATAAATTTTTGAGAATATCTCTGGTTCTTTTCTTAGAATAAATTCTTTGACATGGAATTTCTAAGTCACACTGTCTGGTACACTTGCTAAATCTCTTTCTAGAAGTAAGATGTATGTAGGTGGGGGCCGGGAATTCAGCTGAAACTTTAGTGCTAATTGAAATCTCTCCTGCAATATTTTTATTAAGTGTGAAAAGGACAGGGAGGAAAAAGAGAGAGAGAGATAGAGGAAATAACGAGAGGGAGAGAGTAGTAGGAAGAAGAGAAGGAAACATGAGGGGAGACAGAGAAAGATATCTCTTTAGAAGCAATAATTATTTATTAAAGACAGTGTTACCTGGACTTTTAAAAGATGCAGAGAAAATATATAGTTTAAAAAGGCCAGATGTGCCTCTAATTAAATTCCAACAAATACCAGTGATTTTACTTCTTGGATCTCTCTATTTTTTTCCTTTTAAAATTAAAAATACACAGTTTTCTCACTGTAAAAACTAAGAGGTATGATGTTTCATGGCATTAGCCATTGGAGGACACAGAGGTGAGTCTATTAGGCAGTGCAGCATGCGAGGAACTAAGCCCCAAGCCCCACAGAAAGGGGCTGAAGGGGCACAGGGAGACTCATTGGGTCTCCGATTTCAGTAATAGGAGGGTCAGAGAAGTACTGGCCTGCTTCTTCTGCTTTGGTACCTAGAAGGTATGGGTATAATTTTTAGCAAGAAGGAAGGTGAAAATCAGTCATTAGTTAGATTGGTTTTTGGACATGTTGTGTTTGAGTGGCAGGAACAGTAAATGTCTGTGGCCTGTGGACAGAGCCAAAGATCTACTTGCCCAGGCAGGGATAATGGTGGAAGGGAAATAAAGGAAAAAACTCTCTGAAAGAGTAAAAGAAGAACTGAGAGAGAATGTGAACATAAATAATGAAAATACGATCTATGGGTCTCTGGTGTCTGTCCCAAACTACCCCAGCCATACCCAGCTACCAACTTTAATAGCCTATTTCCCAGGTCTCCTTTCAGCTTGCAAGCTGTCCTCATTGGCTGGACCTGGATCTCTTGTATGTCTCAACGAACTCCTTCCCACCCTTCACCATTCATGGGGAGGACTTGTTTTCACGGTCTTTGGCGTCAATTTAGATTGACCATGCTGCTGATAAGGGCCATTCACTAGAAACTCATCTACAACACCTGGCACTATCATTTCAAATCAGAAACTTGAATGTCAGTGTTGACTTGGATCACACCTTCAATTGGTTATTTAGGCTGTAAACCCTTTCCTACAGGAGTTCAATGCCCACCGGTTCTCCCACTCTGCCCCATTTGCCACATTTTACTTTGACCTTCATTATCATATGTGTCAAGTCTTT